GATTTTTGTAGATGCAGGCAGAAAAAATACTAATGCTATGAATCAAATATACTTCCTGTGACTTGAATATTTTCATAAAACCCCAAAACAACAACAACAAAAAAAACCTTCCTGACTTAGTTTTGTTTCCTCCCAACAGCCCTGCTGTTCCCCGGTACTGGCACTCGGGCATCACTCCTTTCTCTTCTCCCCTCCCAAAACCCTCACGGAGAAGTGGGAAAAATTGGAAAGAAAGAGGAAGTCATGAAGTCACATCATTAGTGGGACCTCACTGTGAAATCCTGTAGATGTGGGGGTTTCCCAGATACTTGACGCAGCAATATCCATCCGAAAATTGAAATGCATAGTTGAAAATTTAACAAACTGCAACGAATGACCCAGGAGAGCAGCAACTGGCAGCTCTCACTGGGCAGGGGGCGGTCCACCCATGCCTCTCCCCAGTGACTCAGGAATTCAGGGAGCAGAGCCCAGAACTAAACAGGACATTGATAGGCGCATGTAGTCGGAACCCCAAGATTGGGCCCTTTTCTTCCTGGAACTCAATGTCCAGCCACTCCGTAGTCAAAAAGACATGGATAAAATGCAATCAGATAGTAAAAATGGCAACAGAGCAGTGCTTGGGGGACAGAAAAGAAAGCTGAATCATGCCACACTGGAAGCATTTTCAAAGGAAAACCGTGAACCCAAATGCCGAGGAGGCTGACTTTTCTCTATCAACAGGCATTTAGGAGGGGGAAGGGAGGGAGACTCAGACTTCCCAGCAGCGTGGCAGGTCTTGGCACCCGCCTCGGTTCCCCTGCCGAACTTCCACAAATAAACATTCAAAGCAGAAGGGACAGATTTGCTTCTCAGCAAGATTTCAAAGCTGTGCACCAGAGTTGGAGAGAAAACAGGAAGGATGGTAGGGGGAAGAGGGGGAGGAGGACGGGGGAGGAGGAGGGGGTGAGGAGGAGGGGGGAGGAGGAGGGGGGGCATGCATGCCTTGGGCCAAATCAGATGGGAAGCGTCCCAACCTCTCACCCGAAACTGACACACCATTTTTTATGAGGTGCGAAACATTTCAGGTAGTGTTGGCGCTAATAATACCTTGGGCCCAGGTCTGAGCTTCTGGGTTTCAAGCTGGGGGCGTTAAGCCTGCAAAGGCCGCAGGTGAAGACAAACTCCTTCAAGTGAAACCAAGAGTGGCTATTAATAAATTTCCTTGGAGAAAATTCAGTCATTTGGCTCTCGTTTCTCTCCCAGACCACCTAGGTTAATCTGCGTGTGCGCACTTGCAAGTGAACGTGTGCGATAGTGTGCAAATGAGTGCGTGAGTGTACGCGTGGGGATGGGTGGGATGGTGTGGGAGGGATGTAGTAAGGCCATGGGTACTACCTTTGGATTGTTTGAAGATGACAACACTCACTTCTGATCTCCAAGGAACCCAGAGAAAACACAGCTGGTCTCAGTCGGTGCTAACCCCAGCGCCCCCCCTCCGATTCTTCGGGCTCCACAAGTTCCCACGTCTCGGAGGTTGCACCCACAGCCCCAGCTCCTTACTCAAAGTGGGCTGGTGCCGTTACAGTGGTTCAGTGAGATTTTCCCTCTTTCTTTGTTAATGAGAACTCATTTGGCATTTAATAAAACCTTATTTATACACTGGCCTACGTGCGTATGAGAAACAGCCCAGAACAGAAGGCCCAGCATTCCTGCACTGCAGCTAAGCATGGCTGTGCGCCAAACAGCTGCAATAACAGCCGCGTCCCGGCGGAGCCCCTTCCCCGGCCCCGGAGCAGCCCCTGCCTGCCTGATGCTCCTCCCAGAGGGTCGGAGGGTCTGCCCTGAGCCCTTCTGGGCCTGCCTCAGGCTTGTTTTTCTGAAAACCCAAATAGAATGGGTCCAGGAGCAATAAAGGCAAAGTCCCATTTTAATGCCTGATATTTCTTTCAGGGTTTTTTTTTTTTTTTTGGTAAATTTTTGTTTTTAGTGTAATCCATTTGTCAAACGGAAAAGCACATTTTAAAGGCACCAGAAGACTACATATGTCCTGCGTCGGTTGGATCTTTCCCCACCAAGGAGACTGAAGCAGGAGTGAGAGGAGAGCAGGTAGAGGTGGTGCTCCGAGGTTAACTCCCCTGAGGCCGGCTCCCCACAGGGCTTTCTCCTCTGGGCAGTCTCCCGGTCCACTACAGGCTCTGTCGCTCACCAGCTTTGTTAACAGAACAGGAGAGAGAAAGCATCTCCACACCACAGTGGTCTCATGGGTGGTCAAATGAAAGTTCTTTGGACCCTCAGAGGTGTGTGGGGTACTATTATTATGCGTGGTCTATAGAGATCAAGGTTGTAAATCAAACTCTTAAGTTCTAGGTCAGTGATTCTCAGTCTTGCCTGGACATTGGACTTACCTGGGAAGGTTTTTAACATAGTGAAGTCAAGGCTGCACCCTAGGCCAGCTGACTCAGAATCTCTGGGGGTGGGGGCCAGGCATTTGTAGGACACATTGAATCACTGGGGAAGCTTTTAAAAACTGCTTTGGACCCTCAGGGGTGTGTGGGGGGATGGGGCAAATGCTGCTGGTGTTGGCCCTTTCTAGGCTGCACTGCTGTGAAATGTCCTGTTTGCTTGTCTCTGGTCTGGCTGTGAGTTCTGTGAGGGTGGAAGGTTCACATCTGGGGCCTTGGCCTCAGCACAATGCCCGGCCCCTCACAGGTGCCCGGTGCAGGTTTGAGTGCCTGCACACAGAAACAGAGAAAGCAAGCCCCCAGGACCCATCTGCGGTCTGCAAGGGCGACAGGTCAAGGTAGCCCAGGGTTTCTCAATGCTAGCATTTGCCAAGGCAGTGTGTGAAGGCGTAAGGAAAGACTTTCTGGTCTTTCTTGTCTGATAAAGAAACATTTAGAAGCCAGTGTCCTGAGTTTTGGTTCTAGTTGCCGGTGAAAGTTTTACCCAGGTGCCCATTTACCCTGCTATCTCTGGCATTGACATCCCAGAGTTAGTGGTCATGTCCGGGGAGGTAAATTTACCTATACTGATGGCCAAGGTACTTCAAGAAGAGAAGAATGACCCTGTTCCCTTCACGGTGACAAGAGGATTGCATGAACCTGGGTGCCCGGGCCCTGCCTGCAAAGCCCAGGTGCACAGACCTTGCTCATTCTGCCCGTTCTGCAGAGCATGAGGGCCCTGGATGCCGGAGAGGGAGCCTCTGGTAGCTCTGCAAACACCAGCACTGGACTCCTGGCTGTGCTGGTATTCAGCTGCCTGGAATAAGGGACCTTTGTTGCCTCACTCTTCTGTCTGATTCTGAAAACAAGTCAAGGAGCGTGTCTAAAATCAGGTTCTTTTTGAAACTTTCAGTAGAGACATTTGGACTACATGGCTTTTTATTCTTCCTATAGTGTGGTGAGCCAAGAAACCTTTTCTGGGGTCCTGGGCTCTCACTGATGGTGGCATCCGTAGGTTCTGACCCTTCATACTCACTCTGGGGCCCCACCCTGACGAGCTGGGAAAATTGTACAGTAACTTTCCATGGAAAGTCACACATTGAAAAGGATTAAGAGTGGACTCTGGGCCGGGCGCGGTGGCTCAAGCCTGTAATCCCAGCACTTTGGGAGGCCGAGACGGGCGGATCACGAGGTCAGGAGATCGAGACCATCTTGGCTAACCCGGTGAAACCCCGTCTCTACTAAAAAAATACAAAAAACTAGCCGGGCGAGGTGGCGGGCGCCTGTAGTCCCAGCTACTCGGGAGGCTGAGGCAGGAGAATGGCGTAAACCCGGGAGGCGGAGCTTGCAGTGAGCTAAGATCCGGCCACTGACAAATGAAGAAAATAGATACTAGATATGACTCCGAAAAAAAAAAAAAAAAAGAGTGGACTCTGCCAGAAACTGAGGGGTCTTATTTTATGTTGCTTCATTTTTAAAAGCCTTCAGCTTGCTTTTTAAGACAAACTGAGAGTGGGTTTCCTGGGACTTGAGAGAGCAGTCATAAAACAGACAAAACACAGTTCCTCAATCAAGTTCTTAGTGACTGACATTCCCTAAAACACAGTTCTAGACATTAAAAGGTAGGCAAAAAAAAACCCACAAAAATATAATTTCATGCTAGAAATATTATACATTCCACCTTCTCTGAAGGATTCTAATTTTGAGTGTTTGAAAGTGTGGCCTACAGTGATCTTCATCAGGATCGCCAAAGGTAATAGGATAGATTCTGGGCCCAGCCTGGTTCTTCTGAATCAGAGTGATTGGGGGTGGGGATTTAGAACTTGCATCTTTTACCAACTTCTCTGATGGTTTTTATGCACTTTGCAGTATGAAAACCTCTGCTCTACACCTCCTTTATCTCATTCCTTCTCATCTTATCCTTCTAGCAAAGGAGGAGGTATTTTCAGGTCCCAGGCAGTCTGTCTGGGATGCAGTTCTAGAACAAAGGGTTGAGCTAGATCAGGGCTTTCCAAATTTTTGAGACTATCAAACTTTCTCTGTCATTTTTTCTCTCTAGAAACACCAACCATTGAGGTTGAGACCAGTTCCAGAGGAAGAAGCATGGTGCCTTCATTTATTAAAATTTATGAAATGTTTTGCATATACTTTTTCTTATATAATTCCTACTACTCTATAAAGTATTATATTTGTTTTATAGATAAGTACTGGGACCAGAAAAGGTTCAATATCTTACCACGATCACCTGGCTAGGAAATAGCAGGTCAGGGAGTCAAACCAGGCCTCCTCCTTCCTTTACCACTCTGCTAGAGGAGGTGAAGGGGACTCCCCCCACATTTAGAGTGGACAGAAACATGCCACAGCCACATACCTAATGGTGAACCTCATAGTGACTTCTGGGTCCCTGGGCCACTGTTTTAGAAATACTATCAGTTGTGATTTTTTGAGTCCTGGGAGCCTGGAGCTTTTGCAAGGATTGTCCGGAACACCAGGCTCACGCCCTCCCCAAGGTCAATTCGTCAGGCTCTGCTGCCCCAAGAATCACCTTGCAATTGGTGAGCAGCCAGACCCCTCCCTTACCACACGGAAGAGCTTGAAGAAGTCCACGTTGGCATACAGAGTGTCCTCTATCCACTGTAGGGTGCGCTGGGAAAGGGAGCACAGGGCATAGCGCACAGTCTGTGCCCCGCGTCGCTGGCTAAAGATGATGAAGCGCTCCAGGAGGGCCTCGCTGCAGGCGATGTCCTTCAGCGCCAGCTCCGGTACTCCATGAGCAAACTGCAGGGAGAAGAGGCAATGCTAGAAACTGCCCTGTGGTAGGAAAGACAGCCACATCCTAACCCACAGAACATGGGAATACCTTATGTTACATGGCAATGGGAATTAAGATCGCAGATGAGATTAAAGCCACTAATTAACTGATTTTAAAATAAGGAGAATATTTTGGCTTTTCTAGGTGGCCCCTGTGTAATGACAAGGGTCCCTTAAATGTGGAAGACGGAGGCAGAAGAAACAGAGTCATGTGATGTGAGAAAGACTTGATGAGCCCCCACTGGCCTTGGGATAGAAGAGACCACTAGCCAAAGATTATAGAGTGTCTCCGGAGGCTGAAGGAGGCAAGAAAATGGATTTTTCTCTAGAACTCCCTAGTAAGGAATGCAGTCCTGCTGACTCCCTAACTTTCAGTCTTGTGACCTCCAGAACCATAAGATAATGCATCTGTGTTGTTTGAAGTCACTAAGTTTGTGGTCATTTGTTACAGCAGCAACAGGAAACCAATACGATCCCGATACCTCCCTTTATCAGGGTGCCATTTACAATTCAAGGGATTTCCTTCTTATAGCATGATGTGACAGTACCATCAAGGCTTCCTCCCTGAAGGTGGGGTTGAGGAGTAGCTAGAACAAATTTGCTCTTGGATTTAGCAAACAAAAGTACCACATGCCCAGTCGAATCTGAATTTCAGATAAATGAATAATCTTTAGTACAAATATGTCCCAAATTGGGTACAAATAGAACACAGTTATTCAAAAAAATTACTTGTTGTTTATCTGAAATTCGAATTTAACTAGACACTCTGCACCTATTTTGTCTGGAGCCCCTAAACCCTGCATGGCGCACATTCTGCAGCTCCTGGGGAGCTCAAGGATAGTGGTTCTTGAAGTACAACCCTCATGATGGCCTCTCAAGGATCAGGTGGCAAGGGAGAGGCCCGGACCTTGGCCAGCGACCCGTGGCCACCCAGCACCTTAACTGGCTCCTGGAGTCCTGGACTCCCATAGCAGTGGAAGACCCTGAGTACCATGGGCAAATTCATGAGATTCCCGGGGCACCACAGTTGCCCATGACTTCTAACAACACGGCTCTCTGGGCTGGAGGGCAGAACAGGCCTGAGCTCTGCTAACTCCTACACTGCCCAGACTACACATGGCAGCCTGGTTCCCATACGAGGCACAGGTCACAGCTCACCAGGAGTCAGTGTGGACCGTCTCAATCTCAGGGACCCATAAAACAGTGAAACCAGAGCACTGAAGAGGGCGTGTGAAGAATAGCTACTAAAAGCAGCTAGTATTTACTGAGTGTTTACTATGTATCAGGCACCCTTCCAAGTGTTCACATATATTATTTCTTTTAACTTCAACCGCCATAGGTGGTAGGCACTTTTGCTAATTCCATTTTACAAATGAGGAAATGAGAGGCATAGAGTGGTTAATTAACTTGCCTGAAGTCACATAGCTAAGTGTGTGGCCTTGTGAGATTTGAACCCAGAGCTTAACCATCACCTGTTAGCTCGCCAGTGAGTAGGGAAGAGGGAGAAGGCAGGACAAAGAAGGGTAGGTTTATAAATTATTTCACCGAGGAGGCAACATCTGAGCTGGGCCTTGAAGCATGTCCAGTTTACTGGGTTGGGGTGAGCCAGAGAACTGAGCCCCTGTCATCTTCTAATTCCCTAGATGGAGAGTGGGGATGGTGAGGTTCCTTCTGAGCTGTGCTCAGACCCCAGGCAGAAAGGACCAGGAGGGGTATCCAGTCCTGATGGTAAAGGACACAAATCCACATTCAATGAGCATGGGCAACAACACAGAGGTGAGCTCCCATGTTGGACAGCGCCCAGAGAGAATGTTGCCATGGTGATGGACAGTTCTGGGAACAGTGCTGATAAGGAGCCCCGGAGTGAGCGGGATGGAGGTGGAGATACAGATCAGGAGCTAGAAGACAGGTGAGCCCACGAGGCAAAGCATCCTGGGAAGTGGGCAGAGAGGGCCCGGTCGGCCGGAACGTGCCTCTGCGAAGTGCAGATGGCTCAGGGTTTGCTAATCAGCAGAGCATCAGCTCATCAGAGCCAGCAATACGAAATAAAGGCACAACCTGGTGACCCCAGCCTCTGTTCTCCCACATGAAAGGCCTTGGCACTGATGCCAGAAGCACAGCGCTAGAGATCCAAATGTCACGTTAGTAAGGAACTGGAAAGAAATTTCCCCGAAATTCCTGTCCTTATCTTCATCTCCCTTTTATTACCAACTGGAAGTCATCACAGGCATTGTCAGGACTTGAGTTTTACGAGCTGAAGAGAAAGCAAAGGGGAAAATGAGCAATCGGTGGCGACAGCACCCCCTCTGTGGGGGTGGGAGAGGAAGCTAAACAGGACCTGGTAGGAGCCGCACCACCCCAGGGCCTGGGCACTGCAGGCGCCAAGCTCACCCTGCCTCCAGGCTGACCCTGGGTTCCCCTTGTCTAGTTTCGGTGAAAACCTCAGGGTCTGAGAAGCCAGAAAAGCAGGTATGGGCTCCTTCACTGTGCAGGGAACCAGTGTGAGAACCTGCTTCCAGGAGCCGGTGCTGACCAGGTGGGGTGGGGTCCCTCACTCCTCTGGACTCAGACAGCACCCTGTGCAGACCTTGATCTCAGGGTTGACACAGGCTCTGAAGTTGTGTTTATGTCTCGTTCTCTCCTGGAGTCTGGAGGAAGACCAGACCCAGCCAGGAGGGAGTCGGGAGGGTGTCTGGTATATCAGCTGCTGCAGATCTTGCATTCTTGCTGTGTTCATCACACCAAAGAAGCTGGGCGGGGAGCCCTGAAGGCCCAGAGGACAGCTGCAGCTCTCACACCTGAGCCTGCAGAATCACCTGGAGGGCTTGTGAAGCACAGATTGCTGGGCCTTATCCCAGGGCTTTGGACCCAGTTCGCCTGGAGTGGGGCCTGAGAATTTGCATTCCTAACAAGCTCCCAGGCATTGCTGATGCTGCTGGTCTCTGGGCTTTGAGAGCCCCTGGACTGAAGTAAGAAACACTGGATTAGGATTGACAGGACCTGGATTCCATCTGGCTCTGACAATTTCTAGCCCTGTAACTGTGCACAAATCACCCCAGCACCAGACGCCCAAGCCTCCTTCTCTGTTGACCCATCTCAGGATTGTTGTGAGGAGTAAAGGAGCTAAGGGACATGCAAGTCATGAATTAGTGGTAAGAATGCTCTACATAAATAGAGGAGATTATTTAAAGGGGTAAAATAAATTGGAGTTGTATACACAGGTCAGAAATGTGCCAGGGGATAGAAGAAGGAGTTTCCTGGTGCTGAGAAGGAAGTGGTCCAGGAAAGCAGAGGTGGGCTCTTCTGCAGCGTCTCAGGTTCTGTAACCCCGGGACGCCACCGCAGCACTTGCCAGCACTGTGCTGGCAGCTTCCCAGCCCGGAACGCTCCTCTCACTGTGTGGCTAACAGACGACTCTGCTCAAATACCACCTCATCAGGAAGGCCTTCCTGAGCATCCCCCTTAAACCTGCCCTTGTGTCCCTCTCTAACCCCCGACCCTACTGGATTTTCCTTGCAGCAGCCATCACAGCCAGGAGTCACACAGCAGAGTCTCTGCTTACCTGAGCGCTGCCTGTGGCCCCACTGGAATGGAAGTTCCTCGGCCTGGGGTTTTGCCTGTCTGGTTCACACTGTGCTCTAATACCTATAACTGTCCCTAAATATTTGAGTAATAAATGAATAGACGCCTGTTTCCTCATCTATAAAGAGGAGGTTGTACCCCATGATCTCTACGTTTCCTTCCAGTTATAAACACCTGAGATGTTTTAAAGTTGCTAGGATGTGTGCAGCTTTGAGTCCTATGATGAAAATGATCACGATCTCAAGTGATCCCCCGGTTTTTTTCTAAATACAAGGCATTAAGTGATGGTTTCTGAATGTGAACACAGGGAAGAAAAAAGAATAAAGTCAACATGCTTCTTGCCTTTCTCAGGCTGGGTGCTTCCCCCCTCCCCTCCAGGGACCACCAGCCAGTGACATCCACCTACCTGCTCCGGACGGACTTGAGAGTTGATCAGAAGGTGGACCACTGAGTCAGACAAGCCAATGTTTTTAATGAGAAATAATGTCAGTGTTTCTTCGTCTTTCAAGATATCCCTTATCCGTATTCCTCTTCCTACATATGAATAAGAGAAAGAACAGGGTATTGAAGGGGAAATGGGTCAAAAAAGGGAAAACAGCTAGAGTTGATTGGGAACACTTCTAACTCGACTCTCAGAGGAAGACTCTGTTCTTGGGGTCTCTGGGAGCCCCTAGAGGTGAGGCTCTTGCCAGTGGGCTGCCCCCAACACAGTCACAACACTGACTGCTGAAGCAGCTGGGCCCAATTTAGTAAGAAGGTGGAAAAAGTTAGCCAGGGCTGGGTGGGGGTGTCAGATGCTTTGTGGGGTTGGTCTAGGACAGTGCTTCTCATTGAGGTGGGTCTGGGGAGCTGGAACAGGGGAATTTCATCCTCCTGGGACTATTTGGCAAGATCTAAAGACATTTCTGGGTGTCACAACTGGGGAGGTGCTAGTGGGTAGAGGCCAGGGGTACTGCTAAACATCCTGCAAGGCCCAGGACACTCCTCCCTCCCCCACACAAAGGGTTATCTGGCCCCAAGTGTCAGTAATGCTGAGGTTGAGAAGCCCTGGTCTAGGATTGGAGGAGACACGTGCTTTTCCCACACTGCAGCTGTCACAGAGTAGAGGACCCTTCTGGGTGTTTCTATCATCTCAGCTTGGGCTGAGATGCCCAGGGCACTGTCATGGACTAAGAGAAATGAACTGGGGCCATTGAGGGCAGGAAAAGCTCCATGTAGAAAGAGGAGAGCCAGGCACATGCCTGGGCTCCCTCCAGCTCCTCTCAACACCTGTGGGAAGCAGGGTTTCTTTATAAGGAGGCATAAAGAACACCTAACAGTTAAGGTGACCTTGGGGCAAGTGACTGAGCCTGTCCCTGTGTCTGCACTTTCCACATCTCCCTCATAGGATTGTTGACTCGGGGTAAGGAATGCGAAGTGCTTAGCTCCCAGGCCTCAAAACAGAGAGCACTCAATAAATGCTTGTTATGATCAAATTAATATTCTTACCCTTCCTGGGAGATTCACACAAGCACCCTCCTCCTCGGCTGGCTTCCAGGGCCAATTTAGTAAGAAGGTGGAAAAAGTTAGCCAGGGCTGGGTGGGGGTGTCAGATGCTTTGTGGGGTTGGTCTAGGACACTGCTTCTCATTGAGGTGGGTCTGGGGAGCTGGAACAGGGGAATTTCATCCTCCTAGGAATATTTGGGAAGATCTAAAGACATTTCTGGGTGTCACAACTGGGGAGGTGCTGGTGGATAGAGGCCAGGGATGCTGCTAAATATCCTGCCTCAACCCCGCTAGTGCTGTAGCTCATGAGGCTCTGGCCAGAGAAGAGCCTTATGGGCCTGGGTGTCTATGAAGGGACTTCAACATGAAGGGAAAGCACTGGAGTGTGTGAAAATGCCAATCTCTTCACCCCGAGTTCTTCAGGGGCATGAGTGACCATTTATCTCCCAGTTCTTCTTGAACTAACTTTAACCATCACGTGTCCCCGTTCTTTCCTGGTACCAATTCCACAGGGTCCCATTCTCTCCCTCTTCAAATTCTCCCCTCCCCAAGTGGCCAAGAGGCCTGCCCCTGTGTGCTGGACAGCCACCCTTCTCATCCCCAGGTTGTGCCTTTTCCTGAACAGCACCATATCCGGATTCATGTTGCAGCTACTTTCCTCTGGGAGGGTCTTGGGCCAACCCCACAGGCCTGTCCATGCAGCTAGGGCAGGGGAAGCCAGTCCTGAAGTTTGACCACACAGTGGCACAGTGGCCTCTTTCACAGTAATGGGCGCCTTGAGAGTTGTGCCCACTGTCACTCCCCTTTGCATAGGAAAGATTTGAGGACTTTGGGGAAAGCTGGACACAAGGCCCCAAGGGAAGAAGAGGGCTCTGAGGGGAGCTGCTCCCTTTTATTCTAGTCTTCCCCCCTTTTCAAAAACATAAATCCGGCTGTCTTCCAAACCCAGCCTCCTGCTTTTCCTCCTGTCGCTGGGTGCCAGCTCCACTCTTGTTTTCCCAATTACCCCTTCATATACAGCCTTGTACACTCTCACTCCACCAACACCATCCCCAACACACACACGCACACACATGAACGCACAACATGCACACACACACATGCATGCACACACACACACACGCATGCACACACATGCACGCACACACACATGCACACACATGCATGCACACACATGCATGCACACACACATGCATGCACACACATGCATGCACATGCAGACACATACATGGGAGATCTCTTGAGAGTTGGAGGCTATGGCTCCTGCTTTTATTATACTCCTCATTGTACCTAGCAATGCTGAGTGCACAGATGCAAGCCCTTGAAGTCACCTCTCTCTGACACCAGCATTAAAGACTGACATCAAATCAGAGTCTCAATAAATGTCTGTTGAATGACATGAGGCATTCAGTAAATAACTGTTGTCTTGACCTGAGAGTCAGGACTCCATTTGACTGTTTATCTCTTCGTTATTCTTTAACTCACTCACCTGACCTTACATACAAATATCTTGCTGGGGAGAAGGGGCAAAACAAGAAAAGCTGGGAGCGATGTTGCCCAGGCTTGGCATGCCAGACCACCCAGGTGACAGGGCTGCTGTGGCCCTGGGGGGAAGGGGGAGCGTGCTGGCTCCCGGTACACCTGAGGAGGGTGGGGGCCCGGGCGAAGAGGAGGTCGATACCAGACAGAAGCTTCCCTACACTCCTGAGGGAGAAATGTGAACTGGGAGCCTGAGGAAAGAAAAATAAATTTCGTTTAAAATGTGGTTCTTCTTGTTCCCTTCCCTAGGAAGATTAGAGGCTGGGGGGTGGGGACTGCTGAGGCCCCAGGAGCTGAGGGTGGGGGTGGGAGGGAAGCCAGGAGAATGTAGGAGGCTCCCGGGAAGAAGGTGTTTTAAAGATGATTGAGAGACCACAGAGCTCGCTTCAAGGGAGAGGGAAGGGGGCTCCATGCCTGGTCTTTTACCATTAATCCTCCCTGCTGAGAATGCAGTACTACAGGTTTGCCATGAAAGAAAACCTCTGCCTGGGTCAACCAGTGGCATGCCTTCCCAGGTGGCTGTGCAGCAGCACGCCCAGCACGAGCCCCTCCACCCCCACCCGCTTGCTTTCCAAGGTGGGCTCTTCCACAGCACTGGCCTGATGGGTCCATGCTCACAGTGAGCAGCGCCCCGGTGAATCTCGACAGACTGGAACAGTCTTTGTTCCTGACAGTGCCCTTCAGGCCCTGGCCTGGGATTTCCTCAGAGACCGTGTCCCTTACTTGGGGATGGACCCCTGTCCCCTCTCACAGCCTCTAAGGCCAGGGATCTTGCAGAGCCTCCATTCCCACGGGGCCGTGGCCAGCCTTTCCTGAGCCCTTGTCCCCAGATTTGCTCCGTTAGGGGCTTCTCAAAGCCTGAAGCTGGCAGAAGGAACCGCCTGCATACCAACTCAAAATCAGTCCTGCTCTGGGGTTAAGAAATAGTGATTTGGGTTCTCATATCCACATTGTAAAAGTCACAGAGAAACTGTGGTTTGAAATTACTTCCTTCACACTTCCTCCCAGCAGGACTCAATCTGATGATCAGACACTTAAGTGAAATGTCTGCCTCATCATCGAACCCACTGGATGCATGAGGTATGTCGTCCCGCCAGGAGCTGGACAGCCCACGTTTGCATCTGTTTGTTTAAATTAGGAAAAAAAAAAAAAAAACCACCTTCTGGTTGGTGCCTAGGGGAAGGGGGGTTTCTTACTATTAAAATGGTAATTGTACTCATACCATATAACGTTCTTCAAACTTGGGCTCACTAAAACAAACTTTTCTATCCAGGGCAGCAAAGAATGGAGTGTTTATAATGCAGTTTGTAGAAGTGACTACATAAAGTCTATGCTTTACTAGTTTGAAACAATGAGAACGTAATTGAGCATCTTGATGCACCAATCTGGTCATACGACTGTCCTTTCTCACTCGGATGGGGAGAGAAGGCTTCAGAAGGCGGCTGGATGGGAGGAGGATCAGATTCTCCTCGGAGAAGTTTCCCCCGTTGACTCTCCTGTGCTCCTGAATCTCCTACTTACTTCCCTCTACCCGGCCGCGCACGCGCTGTGGTCATTTTCTGCTCACTCATCTCTCACCTTCTGCCCTGTGAGCCCTCTGAGGGCTGGCATTCGCCTGACTCATCTCTCCGTCCCCAGAGACCAGCCCAGTGCCTGGCTCACAGGAAGCACTGAAAGTTGGCTAAGTGTTGAAGGAGCTGCACGCACACAGAGGAAGGTGCCTCCGGGGCTGAGTTCAACCATTCTCCCACATTTCTTGTTTGGAACCTGCAGCAGAAGCTGTTCTATCGATACAGCCTCTCCTACTCCCCTGGTAGACCACTTGGTGACCCCTTTCTCATCCCTGTCAACCTCCAAAGTCATCCTTAGAGTCAACCCCCTCATCCCAGGAGCATACATCTCCCAGAATCCCCTAACGGCCGCCTTCGCAGCCTCTGAGCCCCGTTCCCTCAGCAATCTCCTCCCGCCGACTAGCAGCCTTTTCTCAGAGGGCACGCTCCACCCACAAGGCTGCAGTAACCTCTGGATTTCCGGGGAGCTTTACTTCCTCACGACCTCTCATTTCCTCCACTCTCACGAGTGGGCTCCAGTGGCCATTTCCAGTCCCTCTAGCCATCTGCAGAGGAGCCTACTACACATGTGACAGCACACAACACCCACTCACACTTTGTAAAGGCACACTGGAGTTGTTACTCTCGGGCTGTTTCTTGTTCTTTCCCTGGGGAGGGGAGACACAGGAGAGGGAGCCCATTCATCCTTCCTCTTCGCTCTTCCTGACTCCTGGTGGCTCCCACCCTGGTGCCCAGCTCCTGCCATCTTCCTGCACAACCATGGTGTCCATGTGGGGCCAACACCCTCACCTCCCATTTCCTCCTTGCCCTCACCATGCACCTGCACCTCCGCTCCACTTCACCCTGGCCACATCTGGGGGCCAGTCATCACCCATCTACCTTGCCTTCGAAATCCTGAATTCACATATTTCACTTTCTGACCACAGCCATCAACTCTTTTATCTTGTTCATTTTCTCAATCACTTAAACAGGGTCATCACACCCATTGAAACTTCTATTCCCTTGCCTCTTCATTTCTCCCAGTCCATTTCAGTACCTCTGCCTTCTTATCCTTCCTCGTGCAGCCTGGACCTGATGCATGTAGTCCAGTGCCTGCCTTCTGCCCCCTGCCTGTTGACCTTCCGTGGTGCCTCCCTACACACCCCCAGCCCTGCATCACTCACTCTCCACTTGCACTGCCTCAGTGCCTGGATGGTAAATATTATTGGGAGAAATAGTATAATTATGCATATTTATATCATGATGACGCATGATCTCCAACCTCCCTGGCTCCTTAATGATAGTTGGCCTCGCTTCTTCATGTTCCTGGTTAGCTCTCTCTCTAGAACTCTGTGAGAGCTGCTCCATACCTTTACCAAACTCCGCAAACTCCTCTCCCCCTGCTTCTAGTCCTTGACCTAGCCTCATACTTCCCATAGCACCATCTGTCTTAGCATTCTTTCTATCTCTAGACTTAACTGGATGAGACCTTTCCTGCCTTCCTTCCCAACTTCCTACCTTCCAGGCTTCTGTGGAGGAAGAGGCATCTTCATCAAGGTGATGCTCAAGCCGCCTCCAGACCCCATCCCTTCCTGCCTCCGCTAGTATCTTTTTCACCAAATCTCCCTGTTCTTTCCCATATCTTCAGTCTCTCCATGGGTGAGACAAGTGATGCTTGAGAGCACCGGAGTCCCGCTTACCTGCAATTCTCTCCGGGTGAGTCCGGAGGGTGTCCATGAATTGGGACAAGATGCGGAGCTCTGTCCAAATATGGCCAAGGTGCTGGCTCTCTGGTGCATTCATGAGGAGTTCTTGAAAATCTCGATACACCCTTGCTAAGCTGTAAGGACAAAGCCTCATTAATAAGGAAATAGCTGTTATTCTTATAATAGTAATAATATCTCATGCTATTTTTAAAGATACCATGTGCCTGACCTAGCTACTACATTGAGTATCCTTATAATACTGCCAAGGTAGGAGAAAGAGGTAATTTTACTTCCTTGTACATATAGGCTAACTGACAGCGATATCTCACTATCTGTTCAGTCTCCCAGTTTTGGCAGGGCCTGGTCACCTCTCAGTCCCATGCTCTGTGTGTCTCTTGCCCAGAGAAGCCTTAAACAGGGTGACATTGGTAGATATCACTGGAGGTTTTTTCCAGTTTTTACCCAGATTTCTGAGACCTGTCCTTCCACCCATTCACACGGGTAGGCTCTGACAGCCATGCTTCATCCACAAGGACCTCCCTGCACACACACACAGGCACACACATACATGCACGCCTCTGCCAAGGCTGATGAGAGAATAAAGCTGGATCAACCCGATTTGTTCCCAGGGATTCGGATGGTGTTCAGAGATGGGCTTCTGATTGCCCAAGCCAAGGTGCTGTGAACTGCATGAATGGTGGCAGCCCAGTGCATTGAGGAGCTGGGGAGACTGGTCCATGGAGAGAGGTGAATGGACTAGATACAGAGGCCAGGCCTTGCAGGCCCAGATGGAAGAGAATTGAGGAAGCAGCTCCTGACAGCTCCCCAGGTCTTGGCCTGCCCCTCCTGAGCCCTGCCTTGCTGCCCTTGGCTCTGTGAGAAGGTCTAGTATCCAAATCATACATTTCCTTCAGGGGTTTAAGATAGCTTGAATGGGTTTCTGTACCTTGCAAGCAAAAGAGCCTTGAATAAGCCAATATTTCAACCATAATGTGTGTTTGAAACATGAAACCCAACTTTCTGGGTTCAAATGCCAAATACAACTAGTGTCTGGAGCCCCCTTCTCCAACTCCCATCCCTCAGTTTTTGCCAATAACATCTATAGACACTGCTAGGGCCATTCCCACCAAAGCTCCATGCAGCCTCCACTGAGCTGTCTCCAGGCCTCCCTGATCCCACATGTGACCCCATACGATCTCTCTGGATAGGCAGGTGTTTCTTAAGCTGAAAGTGCAATTGTAAACTAAAACTGCAAGGCAGTGCTTGCAGGAATATGAGCCCTACTAAATGCCATTTCCTTGACTTCGCTAGGAAGACAGATGTTTCCTCTTCTATCATCCTGTAATCTGGGGGTCAGCAAACATAAAAATTACAGACTTATAGATCATACAGTCTCTGTCACAACTACTCAACTCTGCCATTGTAGGGCACGTGCAGCCATAGTTTGTTCACAGTGGGGAAGGCTACCTCCAATCATTAGGTTGATCTATCAAACTCTTTTTCCTTTTTAGTCTAAAAGTGGGCTTCTCCTGGAAGAATCACACTGAGCTCCTCCAAGGAAAAAACTAAAGTAACCAGGTATCTCAGTTTTCACCTAGCCTGGTGTTTATACAGGTAGGGTAAAGCCTGCTCCCCAACAGGCCCTTGCTGGTGGCCTTCAGGTGTGGGCTGTCCAAGATGCTGCTTAAGGTCAGCACAGTGGGTGAGGGATGGCCCTGTCCCCACCCTAGGCCTCTGTCTCTAGGATATGTTCCCATGATGGTCTGCCAATGCTCCGAAGACAGACCTTCTTCCTGTGAGATTCGACTTGAATTTTGACCCTAGACCAGAGGCTATTAACCTGGCATCCACAATTCCCTGAAATCAGATGTACAGTGTAATGTTTGGCATGTGCCCATTTTTCTTGGGAGAGCGGTCATTGGTTTTCATCAGTTTTTCAGAATGGGCTGCAGGCCCACAGTGAAGAGCCACTGCACCGGAGCCATATTCCAAGATCTCACCGCTCCAGGGGGCCGACGGCAGTTACGACAGAAGATTTGGAAATTGTCTTTTTCTCCCAGGAAGTAAACTTCACTTTGTAAACCTGACTTCATTTATCTTCTCAATGCTCCCTGACATTTTTCCTAGCCCTTAGACGTCCAAGAAAGCTTTTAAAGAGAGATCTGTCCAGGTTGATCAGCATGAGGGAACTGAGGTTTTCTCCTACAATGATTCACTCCACTCAAGCAGGTCAATGACCAGAAGGCAGTGGACATATCTCTGCAGTGGGCTGCCATCGGATTCCAGGTCACATTTTGGGGATATAAGGACCAAGAAATTGTGTGCATGTGGCCTTAGCTTGGAGATTTCTCCCCAAGTGCCCTGACAGTTAACAGAATGTTCCAGAGAGGAAACCTGCTCTGCTCCTAAGAAGTTAGGGGCTCGGCAAGCCACAAGAACACTCTTCCAGTGCTCCATGCTCTGTGCACGCACGTGTGCATTTCAGCACGTGAAGGAGTGTGCAGCTTCCTCCCCCGCATGGTAGAGATCTCAAGACTTACATGGAGTTGTTGTAGTTTGACACAATTCCAGGAGATTCTCCTGGGGTGGGGCTTTGAAAGCAGGGATTGTTCACATTGCAGAAGATCCCCTGGAGCCACGGCAGCATTCCTGCTGAGGGCATCGCCTTGTTAGGAAAATGGCCTTTAAAACAGAAAATGAGGACAAGACGGGATTAGTCATGGAGCCCAAGCAGGATGCAGACCTAGGAGTTGGCTTTTTTGGGAAGGAGCCCGGGCCCCTCTGATGTCCTCCTTCATTCTCAGCGTTTAAGAAGCAGGAGCATCTCATGTGTGCCAGGCCCTGTGCTGGGTGCTAGAGACATGGCCTGTTCTCTCAAGCTCCCGGTGTAGTGAGGAGACAGACAGTTGTTGTAATAGGCATGGGTGGAAATGTGAAGGGGAAGCAAGGGGGGACACATCATTTTGTGCTGAGAGGGGCGTAGGAGTGTTAGTTCAAGAAGCCGCCACGCAGCTGCTGCTGCTGCTTGAGCATAGGCTCATCTATTCCTTCAGCCACGGTGAACTGAGCACCTACCCCCAAGCATGCAGTAGGGCTGCAGGATATGGGCTCCTTGGGGAGAGGTAAAGAAGGAAGAGTCGGCCGGGCGCGGTGGCTCAAGCCTGTAATCCCAGCACTTTGGGAGGCCGAGGCGGGTGGATCACGAGGTCAGGAGATCGAGACCATCCTGGCTAACATGGTGAAACCCCGTCTCTACTAAAAATACAAAAAAACTAGCCGGGCGTGGTGGCGGGCGCCTGTAGTCCCAGCTACTCGGAGGCTGAGGCAGGAGAATGGCGTGAACCTGGGAGGCGGAGCTTGCAGTGAGCCGAGATCGCGCCACTGCACTCCAGCCTGGGTGACACAGCGCGAGACTCCGTCTCAAAAAAAAAAAAAAAAAAAAAAAAAGAAGGAAGAGTCTGATGGATAGGAGGCTGATTCAGAACTGGGGCCTGAAACTCATGAACGAGAGGGTGAAGATCAAGAATAGAGGACTGGGCAGCTTTGCATAATGCTTTAGGCTTCCACATTAGCCGCATAGACGGCCAGAAACCAGGTGAAGCATTTCCCACAGGGGCAGAGTGTAACAGAGGCTCTCACTAGGTTCCTTTCAGGTCTGCAGACACCTCAGGGGTCCAAGAAATAAATTTTTTCTTCAGTACAATTGTATAGCATCCCGTTTCCTCATTTTTCTCCGGCATCATGTATAACATATCCTCTATACTGATTTCTGAAATATTTTACAGAACTCATCTATAAATCTCTTCTCTTTAAAACGAGAGAGTTTAGGTATAAAAAATAAAAAACAAAACAAACAGAAATAAGTGCACAGTCTCTTAGTAACTACACACAAGTATTTGCTTAGAATGTTTAGGATTAAAACATGAAAATTTGGGCTGGACAAGGTGGCTCATGCCTATAATCCCAGCGCTTTAGGACGCTGAGGTGGGAGGATCACTTGAGACCAGGGGTTCAAGACCAGCCCGGGCAATGTAGTGACTCTGTCTCTACAAAAAACAAAAGATTAGCTGGGAGCAGTGGCTCATGCCTATAATCCCAGCACTTTGGAAGCTGAGGCAGGAGGATCACTTGAGCCCAAGAGATAGAAGTTTCAGTGTGCCATGGTCCCAACACTGTACTCCAGCCTAGGCAACAGAATGAGACCCTGTCTCTAAACATTTTCTTTAAAATTCTAATTTGTGTAACATTGATACATCTGTCATATGCATCATAGACAGGAAATGATGATAAGCGGATCAGATCCCCATCCCCCCCCCCACCCCAAGACCTTTCTAGACAAAAGGCCCAGACCAATATCTCTCCAGGGCTTGCCCAAGCTACCCTGCTATGCTTACATTCATGTTGGCTATAGAGCGGGTTGGCGTTCCTTAACCAGATCAAGACCAGAAATAAAGATAAAGGCCAGATGAGTTCCACCACAAAGCGAATCTGGAAAAACAAAACAAAAAGAGAGAAAGTTCAGCGGTGCTAAGAGATTATAGAAAACATAACCAGAGCAGACACACCCATCCTCAGAGCCCGTGTGAGAAGTAGGACTTTGGTTGTGGTATATTTACCTAAACAGTTTCCTTCTTTTAACCCCTCCCCACCATACAACCTCTACCTTGTTTTATTATATCAATCAGATTTTGTGTCCATCTGGGTTCTACTCTGCCTCTATTTTAGAAAGCTGCATTAGCATGAGACTTTCATAAAGGATCATCAAGATCCTCTGCTTCAGTGCATTTTAGCTGTCACTATGCACATGAATGCAGATTTGGGTTCAGTATGGCCCCACCAGAGCTTGCATTTCTAATAGGCTCCCAGGTAATGCTGATTTAACAGGTAGCAAAGATTTCTCTGTCACCACTCACTCTGCAGATAAAGGAAGAGGCTCAGAGGAGGCAGGTGACCTGTGCAGTGTCACATCAGCAGTGGCAGCATCAGAACCAAAATCCAGCCTCCTGTTTCTGGGGCCAATGTCCTTTCCCGCCCTCCCCATTACCTTGCCCTTGCAAATGTAGTCATTTAATGAATGAATGAATGAATGAATGAGTGAATAAATGACTGTGATCCATAGCAAAGCCAACAAAAATCAGGCCTACCAACATATTTCGTTCAACAGTTTCTATTGCTTAAAGAAACAAAGCAGGGCACACGGCCATGGGTTTTTACATTGAAAGAGGCTGCTGATGTCAACGTATGGTTGAAAGTTGGTATTTAAACTTTGGTTCCATTTGGAGCTTAAGGACTCTTGACTCCAAAAGCAGATCCAGTGGCTGTGGCAGTCCACACTCTATGGCATTGCACATGGGGGTGGGGGTTGAAGATGTGGAATTAGGAGAGGAAGAGGGAGAGGGACAGGTGAATTGGAGAGTAGAATAGTTCTATGCAACCCTTACTCCAGGGACCTTAGGAAGGAAACACGTAAGATCTGAAGGAGATCTGAAGCAGCTGGCCGGGAATAGCAAGTTTAATAGATCAGCTAGGGGCTATTCATATGGTCTTTCATGTAACCCTTTGTTGTTTTCCTCTCAAAGAAATGTAAATAGGCTCTCAGCAAAATAAAAGACACCATAGCAGAGGCTCAATACATGCTCCTTTCCTGCTAGTAAGAACAAACCATGTTCTGCTTTTTAAAAAACAGCCTGCTGGCAACCAGATTATAAGAAACTAAAAAATAAATTGATGGGGTAAAATGATCATGCATTGAAGAAAGAAAAAGCAAAACTATTTGCGGGCAGGTGGTGATTATGTAGCTGTAACTTTTTACAAGATGTTTTGCTCAAAATATGTATAGGGAGGATGTGTTGGAGGAAGCGCGCACACACGCACACAATATGGGAAGAAAAGTATAGATTTTTGTGAGGCATTCTTTTTTTTTTTTTTCCCAGGCTGGAGTACAGTGGTGCGATCTTGGCTCACTGCAAGCTCTGCCTCCCGGGTTCATGCCATTCTCCAGCCTCAGCCTCCTGAGTAGCTGGGACTACAGGTGTCTGCCACCATGCCTGGCTGATTTTTTTTGTTTTTGGTATTTTTAGTAAAGATGGGGTTTCACCTTGTTAGCCAGGATAGTCTCGATCTCCTGACCTTGAGATCCACCCGCCTCGGCCTCCCAAAGTGCTGGGATTACAGGCGTGAGCCTCTGTGCCTGGCCCTGGACTTCCCTTTCTTAACACACACTGCACTTGAAGGTCATCACTCCTCCAAGTAAGTGAAGCCCTCAAGGGCAGTAAGCTTCCTGAGGGCAGGAACCTCATCTGTCATTGTCACAGGACCCCACATGGGGCAGGATTCATAATAGGTGCCCAATAAATATCCATGGAATGAGTGAGCCTTTGTCAAGACTGGTTTAGGAAGCTTCTCCACCAAAGCCTTTGGTGACACAGGGCTCTGATCACCAACAGTCTGTAGATTTAAGAAACAGCCTCCCCCAGGGGCATATACCTTGGTGTCTTGCCTTCCATTCTGGATCATTCCATCAGTGGGTAGGGCTGGGAAACAAGTTCGGCAAGATAGCAACATTGAGTGATAGGAGCAAATGATGAAACCTGGAAGTTGTTCCCGGTGTCTTCACCAAAGAAATGAGACATCCAGTTCAAATCCAACACAGTTGACTCCTTTAGACAATTGCTTGCAATATTGGCTTTCTATCAAGTAGACTGGCTGTCTTCCACGCGGCAACATCTATCTGGGAGTGGTCTGGTTTGTTAAACACTGATGCTGATTTGGGAGTTAGTGGGAAGATCTGGGTTAACAACCACTTTGGGGCTTGCTTAACCTCTGAGTCTCAGTTTTCTCCTCTCTGAAATGGGACTACTCATGTTTCCTACAGTGTACACTCAGGGTTAAGAGAGGGTTACTCTGAGGTCAAGTAACTGGGGTTACTATCCAGCCTGTTCCATCTTGGCTATGTGACCTTGGGCAACCCACTCAACTCCTCTGTGCCACACGGTCTCATCTGTGAAACGGATGTGATACCAGGACCTATCTCCCAGAGCAGTCGTGAGGATGAAATGGGACACCTGTGTTAAACACGAAAGCACAATATGGCATGAGGTAACAATAAACGTGAGCCATTTGTTATTGCCTCACAGGGTTGTCACAAGATCACAGGGATGTTGCAACGGCAGAAGAGGAAGGAGACAGAATTAAGATTATCTGCAACCTTGTAGGCCTGCCCTCCACTTAGTTCGTCTCCCACCTTTTTGGATTCAGAACTGCCCAGTTGCTGGCTTGGAACCACGGGGCTTCCTAAGAAACCAGCCACACACCGTCCTCTGCTCCATATGTAAAGAGGGAGGGCTATGCACCAGGGAGGGGACCAGCCAGCTTGGCCTGCCTGTCCCATGGGTAAAATTTCCAAACCAAGCTAGTGCATTGTCATCCTCCCTTGCAAGGCTTGTCACGCACACTCCTGGCATCCACCCACTCCCTCACTCACTCATTCTTGTATTTTTGAAGAATGTGGTCTCCACAAGGCACGGTGACTTCAAGGCCTCCTCTCAGGAGTAGGGGCAGGATCAGCACCTCCTTTCTTCCTTCCTTCTTTGTCTGGCCCTGGGACTGATCCTACCTCACCTGTGCCCTCTTCTCATCCTTGAATTAGGCTGTTGTTTTCTGCCTATAGTCCCCCTCCCTCAAATAATCACCCCTGTTGATTAGGTCATCACTTCTCATGTGGCTGTGCGCTGAAAACATGCCGGGATCTCAGGTCATGCCCCAGATCAACTACATCAGAATCTTGGGGCATGGGACCTCAGGGTTCTTCTTTTTAACACTTCTCAGGTAGTTCCAATGTGCAGCCAAGGCTGAGAACCACTGATCTAGGTAATGGTTGGCTGGTAATCTTTAAAAAATATTTGTTGAGAGGTCACTGTTGTTCTAACTCTGTGAGAGTGTGTTTGGATTTTTTTGGCAGGGGCTGGGGGCAGGTGCTGCATTTCACATGTCACTCCCTGGTCAAAGACCACCAACCATTCTTTTCCTAGCCTGACAGGTCTGGTCTTCGCAACAGCCTCTTCTGCCCGCTTCCAAAATCATGCTCAGCACCCCCTCCCCAGAGCGGCATCCTTGTCCTTGACGCTCAACTGCGCACAGGCATACCCCAGGGAGAAATTCCACAGTATAATTAAAAACATGTTTTCTCAGCAGCTCAGACTCCCCCCACCCTGCCCTTTACACATGTCTGTAACTTTAATTAAGCCCAGCCAAGGTTCAGAAGGGCTGGTGGAAAATTCTTTTTTCCCAAACTGGTATTTCCTTCTGTCTTTCTTTTTCTTTTATTTCTTTTCTTTTTCTTTCTTTCTTTCCTTCCTTCCTCCCTCCCTTCCTTCCTTCCTTCCTCCCTCCCTCCCTCCCTTCCGTCCTTCCTTCCTTCCTTCCTTCCTTTCTCTCTCTCTCTCTCTTTCTTCTTTCTTCTTTTTCTTCTTTCCTTCTCTCTCTCTTTCTTTTTCCTTTCTCTCTCTCTGTCTCTCCCTCTCACCTCCCCTCCTCTCTTTACCATTCAGTCGACATGGGGAGGAGGGTTTCTGGCAAGGGCACAGTTGTGCTTGTTGTTTTAAAACTGAGCCTGTTACATTTTCCTCCTTCCTGCTCTGTTTTCAATTTAACAGAAGGCAGCCGAGGCCTAACATGAGCCCCATGATTTTTCTTTCTGCACCAAGAACCAGGACAGGATTCTTAGCCTGGACAAACATGACCCAGAGCCTGGGTACACTGGAGTTGGTGCCCAGACTCTCCATACTTGCCACATTCTGGGCCTGATGTTGGGCCCCAGACAAAGGCCACAGCTGTTCCCAGGTGCTCAGGGGTGCGGTGTCCAAAAAATGACTAGCGCCCCACATTCATGAGTCCTCAGGCCTCCCCTAGATGTCTGTCCTCACCCGGAAGCTGGGATGAAGGGATGACACCAAGAGACCCACCTAGTGATCTTCATAAACCCTCCCTGACGCAGCGCCCGGTCCACAGCCGACACAGGCGGTTGTGTGTTTGTCTCGTGCAGTGGAGAGAGCTCTCGTCATTGGGAATGCACGTTATCAGGATGAACTCCTTGGGAAGTTTTCTCTCATCCTCTCCTCATCATGCCTCCTCTGAGCTCCCAGACCTACTCCTCACTCCCACCTGTGTTTCCTTCTGCTCCATGGCTCCCATATTGTGCTGCATAGTAATTATACACGGGAGCCGCTCCTGCCTGGCTCTGAACTCCATGAAGGCGGTGGCTCTGTCTAGCTCACATTGGTATAGGGCAAACACGCATCCCAGTTTGCCAGGTCCAGTGTTAGTTTACATTTATTGTCCCAGTGCAATTATTAATAGTACTCCCTTTCACTTTCAAAACTGCCCTGATTGGATGATAAATTATGTGGTCACTGTGTCTTAGTGAGATCAGTGACCAGACTATTGGACAGATCTTGATCCATGGGGGTTGGTGTGGTATAACGGCCATGCCTGCCTGTCCTGGGTCACACAGCATGGGTGTGAATCCCAGGTCCAACACCACCAATTACCAATCCTTCTCTGGAGCCTCAGTGACCTCATCAGTACCGTGGGGATCATAGAGAGGCCTCTCTCGTGGAGCTGTTGGGAGGGTTCAGGGAGGTGACGCACTTAGTACAGTGCCAGACACTTAGTAACACTTGACAAACTTTAACAGAGGAAGAAAAAAAAGGAGGGAGGAAAGCAGAGATCTGAAGATTTTCATCTTATGCCCTTAGGGATTGGGAGCTGACGAATGAGGAAATTTGGTATCTGTTTTTACTCTTGCTCTGCCTACAGGAGGCATGGAGGTTTGAGGGAAAACCTGGGAGCTGAATTATGGGCTGGGTGGTTGTACTTTTCTTAGAGGGACCATCTTCTAGAGGCAGAAGTTTCCAGAAAAACCGAAAGCTTAGGAAGGAGCCACAGATCCCTCTCAGAGCTACTGAAACTGTAGGGGGTGCCTCTGTCTTACCCAGACATCCTGGAAGCTCCTGGAATGTGGTAGCAGATGGGGAGCCACTGGGAGGCATGCCAGACAGAAATCTCAATTTCCAGGCCATTGGGACGGCATCCAGTGAACGCCAGCCCAGACCAGGCCCAGCCCTGGGGGATGGCCCGGCCAGGGCCCTCAGCCTGAGTGGCTCTATCTCCTTGGGAGCACACTGTGGAGAAGGCAGAGTCCCTGAGCAGGAGCTGCCCACACCAGGGAAAGGCCAGATTGAGAGGGAGGGCACCAGATCATTCTGAAAACAGGGTTATTCTCTGTCACAGCAACATGAACGCCACAGGAATGGGTTCATTTTAGGCCAGCAGCTACAGTCCTCAGTTATCATGTGACCCCCTTTGAAGGTCACAGAGAGCACAGTGAGAATAACATGAACTGAGAGCTTTAATTTCTTATAGGAAAGAGAGAACAATGGCATATTGGATTTTCCTCCACAATCCACAGATGCCTCACATAGGCAGGGGCTGGGAGGCCTTGTTGCCATTGTATACCCATGAACCTAGCACAGTGCCTGGAGATTATTTGTTGATAGAAGGAAAGAATGAATACATGAATAAATTTAATCATGAGTTTTTTCCAGTTTTGTCAGGATTTTCATGCAAGAAGGGAAGCTCCTAGGAGAAAGGACTGAGTTTCTGATTACTCTTAACACTTGGCCCCTGGGGACAACAGATAACTTCAGCACCAGTCTTGACAGAGGAAAGTGGCCTGAGGACAATGGTGCTTCCCAGACAAGCCAGGTCTAACTTGCCTCTTCCCCCTGCAGCCTCCCTGCATCCTGGGCTGGCCACCCACAGGCTTTGGAGCCGTCCCTGTGCATGGTTGAAGCATGTCCCGTGCTGCTCTCTTTTATGCTGGTTGTTAAGCTATTGTCCCTTGGCTCTACATGCACCAACCTGCCAGGGCTTTCTCCTCAGGGGTCCAGACTCGAGGTCAGGCTCAGAGACCCAGCAGCAGCCTTGATGCACGCCTTGCTCCCAAGTCCTAATGTCAGCTCCACAGACCTCTCATCGATGTTTCCAAGTCTTAATAATTCCTCTCTCTTCCCTTGGTTCTCTCAGCCCTAGGGGTGGGAGCTCTGTCCTGCAATTGCTACCTCCATGATACCTTAGAGTTTTCTTTTCCTCTCTCAGGTACCAGCTCTATACTCAGCTAACACGTTTTCATATTCAACTCTAAGGAGACCCTCACTGAAACACTCATTCGTAGGCCTTCACCTGTTCCAGTTGGCCCCATCACCTACATGAACTTATTCTGAACCGAGATTTGGAACAAATACTGTTCTCTTCTCATCTAAAGCAGGTCTCCCTCCCTTTCCTCCTGAGCTCTCCAGTGGCTTGCAGCTCCCATGGTCCTAATCTCACCCCTACGCAGCCCCCACCCCTTATCCCCTCCTTCCTCTTTCAGCTCCTTTAGTCATTGGCATTTGCACGACTCTGCAAGGCTGTAGCAAAGTGCATTCTTTCTTTATAGTTCTATAGTCACGCCTTATCCCTTCCCAGAAAAAAATGCACAAAGCCAGTTGTCATTTACATGTACAGTCTTGGTCTTCTCTGATCTCCGGCACCTTTTGCCCGCACTTCTTATGGAATATTCCACCTGTGCTACTTTACGTTGCTCTTGGTCTCAAAACATACTTTGGGTTTTCCCAGCCAGCACAGAAGCCAGTGCAGGGTGGAATCTGTGTTATGCTTTTAGGGCTCCAGTCTAGCCCAGCCTGGTGTCTGCTCATTGAAAGAGTTCAGGAAATGTGCGTGATGGTTAATAATGTATTGCGTCTCACAGAATCTAGGACACAGTCAATTGTAAGATGCACTGTTATTTTTCTGCACCACTAAGAAAGAAAAAAAATGTGTCCAGTTAAACTGTGACTTAATCGTGAGCTGCATCCCAATTTCAAAATGTTAACATGTGAAAAAACAATGTGCCTTAGAGAATCAATGAAATAAGCCCTCACTAAGCTGGGAAGCTATTTGAGGGAGTTCTTGTTTGCCTTTGGCCTGCTCTTCAGGGCTTAAGGTTCTTCCCACTGCTCAGTGTGGATGCCCTAGAGGGAGGTAGAGTGGACGGGCAGGTGTAAAACCGGGGGTGGGGGAGGGGTGGGCAGGCAATAGATTGACAGGCAGAGTGGGCAAAAGATTTTCATGTGGCTGAGGACAGAGAACACATCTTCCCGGGAAGGGCACCGTCAGAGGGGCCCACAGAGCGGCCATCCAGCTAAACACGGCTTCAGTGCTAATCGGCGACAAGCCCACTGACTGCTCACAACCCCCCGCCCTGCCCCACCACCCCACTCCACACTTCCAACCTGTTTATTTGCTCCACACCTCGTTTTTAAACCACAGACAGTAACTGTTACCTTTTGCCTTTTCCGCAGGGTCCAGTTCTTCCAGAGCAAAAGCTGTATCTGTCTCACGAAGCCCATGCTAATGACCACACGAAGACCAGATTGGTCAGAGTTGAGGTCCCCCAGACAGCAAAGGACATAAACGCCGCTAAGAGCGCCTCCAGCTCCAGCCACTGTGCCCTTCTGGTGATTAAAGGCTACTTTTCCCCTTCAAAGCATAATCCTTTTTAATTACGCATAAGCCCTTTGTTGGGGAGAGGAGCCCGGACACTGCGTTGGCTCGTTTTTAGTGAGAGAAAGAGAACCCTGAAGACACAAGTGGCTGGGCACCAGGGAAATTGAGGTGGGGGATGCAGTGGGAAACCAAGACCCTCAGGCACCCTCCTCCATGAGAGGGGTTCCTGAGGGGGATGTCTTTAGATATCTTTGACCTTAAGTTTGGAACAAAATCTCTTTGCATAAATATAGGCTGGGCATTTGTCCTCAGCAAGAACCTGCCATGAGCCGGCAGCCAGGGTTTGACTGGCCCTTTAAGTCCAATCAACTCACTTGGCAGATCTGAAATGATTCCTCCCTCTTTTAGTCTTTTATCTTGCTCTGTAATGACTTCAGGACAGCTATTGGGTTGTCTCTGAGCTTACTGGAGGGTAATGATGTTTATCTCTTGGGCTAAAATTGATCAGCTAGTAGTGGTTGCCTGGAGCTCTGACAGGAAAGGCACTGGAACACTCCAGGCTCAGCAGGACAGAGCCGTGATCAACTTCCAATGTCTGACTGGGGTGCCGGCACGAGCAGAGGCAGCAGGTGGGCCCGTTACTGTCATTCCAGCCCTGCAGTGGGGTGGTGCTGGGTTGACTCATCACCAGGTGAGGGATCTGTGATCCGAAGGGACACCCCAAACAGAAGCCTCCCTGGCACCTTGCTATGGACCTTTTTGTCTCTGCCTCCTCGAATCTCAGAATGTGTTCTCTTTGAAAGACTCCAGACCCTTGAGACCTGGATAGGGGTGGAGAGAGAACCGCAGACAGGAATGGATGCTGACTTCATGGAGTTTGTGGTCTGGTTGTAAACACGGGACTTGAACTCAAATAACTCAAGGAGTGTGATGAGGGCCCGCAGGCTGTGCATGGTGGGGCTTCCAAGACGAGAGAGATGGCTTCTGCTTACGAAGGCAAAAAGGCTCCTTGGAGGTGATGGCATTTAAGACAAGCTTGCAGAATTACAAAATAACATTTTAGAGTAAGTTTATGATTTATAAACTGCTTTTGCGTATGTTATTTCATTGTAGCCTCACTACAATTTTGTGAGGTTCTTGTTTGCCGTTTTACAGATGAGGAACGTGAAGCTTAGTGAGATTAAGTACTTTGCTCCGGGTCCACATGACAATGGTGGGTCCTTGAACAAGTGAGTCATTTAAACTCTGCAAAGACAGGGAGGAATAGCTTATCTTGCCCAGGAAAACCACAAGTGAAGCATGGCTAGAGTGAAGGCTATGAATGGAGGATGCGGAAAAGGAGACAGGAACCGGACTGAAAAATTGATGATGATGATGATGATGATGATGATGATGATGACTGATTCAACTGAGATTTACTGAGCGCCTGTGAAGTGACTGGAGTGGCCCGCAAGTGCAGGCCACCCCCAAGCAAAGTCTGGCAGAATCATTAAGACCTTGTTACATGCTAAAGGGTGTGGGTTTTATCATGCAGAAGGTGACGAAAGATTTTAATCCAGTGGCTGCCAAGGGTAGTCAGTTCACCTCGCAGCAACGTGGGAGTGGTTTCGGGAGAGGCAGAGAGCCTGAACCATGCAGTGACAGCCATGATGGAGAGAAGGGGAGGGACTGGAGGGATAGGAAGGAAGGAGACACAGCAGTGCTGGATGAGTTACTGGAAGAAGGTGGTGAGGAAGAGGCAGAAGTTAGCTAGATGGAGTTTGGGGCTTGAGCACCTTGACCACCAGGTGCTGATAACTGAGAAGGGAATGCCAGAGAAAAGCCAGTGGGGAGTAGGAGGCAGTCGGGGAGAACAGGGGTTTGTATTTGATATACTGAAGCTGAAGTTCCTATGACATCTGACCACACATATTCAGCAGGCAGTTGAATACTTGGGTCTGGAGTCAAGAATAAGCTTGTGAGATGGAGACATAGATTTGTGAGTGGTCAACATATAGGTGGAAGATTAAGTCCTGGGAGTGATTAAACAGGTGACCCAGGAAAGAGAAACTTGGAGAGTATATGAGATTGCTGAAGGGGAGCTACAGCTGGTGAAGGAATCTGCCTTCTTCCAATTCCCAAACACATCAGCTATATAAATAACGTTCTGTCATAGTTTTAAAATGGTCCATTCTTCACTGAGCTAGAAAGGAGAAAGTTAAACTATGAGCACTTTGTTAATATTCAATTGATGATGCTCTAATAGTATTATTCCCATCTAATCAATGTTCTTGCCTGAACAAATCTGTTTATTGAGATTGACACATACATGAAATAAAATGTATCATTTGAACCTTATTTTACAATTGAGTAGTGTTAATACATTCATATTGTTATGCAGCCATCAGCACCATCCATCTTCAGAACTTTTTCATTTTGCAAAACTGAAACTCTGTACCCAATAAACACTAAGTCCCCAGTGTTCCCTCCCCCTAGCCCCTGCCAACCATTCTATTTTCTGTCTCAATGAATTTGACTACTGTAAGTACCTCATCTAAGTGGAAACATAGAAAAGCATAATCTTTAAAGTTCATCTATGTTGTAGCAAGCCATCTTAATCTGTTTGAGCTGCTATAACAAAATACCATAAACTGGGTGGTTTATAAACAACAGAAACTTATTCCTCATGGCTTTGGAGGCTGGGAAGTCCAACATCAAGGTGCCAAGAGATTTGGTGTCCAGTGAGCGCCTGTTTCCTGACATGTAGATGGTACCTTCTTGGGGTGACTTCATCCAGTTGAAAGGAAAAGGGGTCTCTCTTGGGCTTCTTTTTATAAGGGCACTAATCCCATTCACAAGGGTTGTACCCTCATGACCTAATCACCTCCCCAAAGCCTCACCTCCTAATAGCATCACCTTTGGAGTTAGGATTTCAATTTATGAATTTTAGAGGAACACATAATTTAGACCATAGCAGATGTGTCAGAGTTCCAGAATTTCTTTTCTTTCTTTCTTTCTTTTTTTTTTTTTGAGATGCAGTTTCGCTCTTATTGCCCAGGCTGGAGTGCGATGGCGCAATCTCAGCTCACCACAACCTCCGCTTCCTGGGTTCAAGCGATTCTCCTGCCTCAGCCTCCCAAGTAGCTGGGATTGCAGGCACGTGCCACCAAGCCCAGATAATTTTTTTTTGTATTTTTAGGAGATATGAGGTTTCTCCATGTTGGCCAGGCTGGTCTCAAACTCCCGACCTCAGGTGATCTGCCTGCCTTGGCCTCCCAAAGTGCTGGAATTATTGGTGTGAGCCACCGTGCCCGGCCACAATTTCTTTCCTTTTTAAGGCCAATTACTATCCCATTGTCAGTATAGACCACATGTTGTTTATCCATTCCTCCATCCAGGGTCTTCTGGGTTGTTTCCACCTTTCGGCTATTGTGAGTAATGCTGCTATGAACCTAGGGGTATAGATATCTGAGTCTCTGCTTTCAATTCTTTGGGGTATAAACCTAGGAGCGAAATTGCTGAATGAAATAGTATAACTTTATTTTTTGAAGAACTACCGTACTATTTCCCTTAACAGCTGCACCATTGTACATTCCAATCAGCAGTGCACAATGGTTCCAACTTCTCCACATCCCGGCCAACACTTGCTGTGCTCTGCTTTTCTTCTTATCATCGCCATCCTAATGGGTGTGAGACGGTATTTCACTGTGGTTTTGATTTGAATGTCCCTAATGTTTAATGAGGTTAAGGACATTTAACTCTTTTTTACTCTTTCAATATTATAGATATTTGGTAGGATTTTTCTCTCAAGGTAACTCCAGTTGTTTAAAAATTATGTCAAACTAAAAGCTGTGTTCAGTTTTCTCATATATTTCTGAGAATATACCTAGTGAGTCAAGAATGACACTGATAACTGCACATTTCATTCTCCTAGTTATCACCATTAACACAAATTGATCAGGGTAGATATGAAATTGATGTGGTCCTGGCAGTAGTTTTGAGCTAGGACCCTGCACATGGATTGAGAGTTGTGATGTTAAGTGATAGACCATATCAATTCACATTTACATTCAGAAGTACAAAGAAGTCAAGGGAAATGGTGAAGTTTTAAAGATCTTCTCACTTCTATTCCTGAGGGTTGAACTAGGAAGAGGCATTCTGCTACTTATATCAGTTATTCTGCAAACACAAATTCAGTAGAGGAGAGAAGTAATTTATAACTTTTTAAAGTTTCTGTTTGGAAAAAAAGCTATGGAAAAATTATGTAGACAAAATTACTTTGAAATTATTGTAATTTTGGAGTGGAAATAAATTTGATAGTGAAACCAGTACCAAAAGATCTCCATTAATTCACTTGCAACAAGCTGAAGAAAATAGAATGTCCCAAAATATATCATTAGACACATATTTATTTGAAACAGTGATTTTAGGTGGAATGAGAAGACATTATGAATCTATGTCACAAGTATAAAGGCAGTTTTGGGACTTCATAATGTAAGATGAAAAATATCTGATTTTTAAATTTGAATTTATTCCTACCAACCTCAAAACTAAATCATTGTGCAATTAAAACTTGAAACTCCAATCATTATGAATAATATGTTTCCTCAGCTTATGCAATAATATTTCATGAGATGATAGTGCAATAAATAAATCAGCCTCAGTTTATGAAAGTTACACATAGAAAAAACTCCAAGGCTGAGTGGAAGCTGCCAGCAGGTTGGCTCACAAGATTTGCTCTTTTCTAGGAGTGACTCCAGTGCCAAGGGAAGAGTCTGCAGTAGGCTTGTTAATGCCAAAGGGATTGGTCATGTGTAGTCACATGATCTTCACTGGGCCAATCAGGGCCTATTCACAGAAATTTGGGGCGTGGATCTGTGAGAAGCATGGGTTAATCATTACAGAAGTACAGAAGTGATGAGAAATTAGAGGCCATGCTGGGTGGTTAGGTTCAGTTTGTGTACGTAGGGGCCTAAGCAAAGACTGGGGACTGGATCTCACTTGTTTTGCTAAACAAGCCTGGGACCCAGGTACAGGACTGCATCCTAGCAAAGGAGATACCTTTTTCCTTTCACAAAGGCATCTTCTGCTCACCAAACTATACAACCACAAGGCTGCATCCACCCAGAGAAGCACCTTTTCTATTTTGCATAAAAGTGTCACATAGGCTAGCAGAGGACCTGAGGCTGTGTTCCCCACCACTAGGAGAAATCTGATCTGCAGTAACAGAGAACGAAGGGAATGCACAGAGAGGCCGAGGTAGAGAGCATGGGTTCCAGTTGTAGCTGAGTCCCTGGTTCCAGCTGTCCTTGGGACACAGCTGCTCCCCTCCTCTTCAGGCAGGTTAGCAGTAAGACACTCCAGTCCTTTCAATAAAACCTCCTTTTGCCTAAATTAGTTCAAATTTGGCTTCCATAGTATCTGAATAAAATTCCTGGGTAGGTCCATGATTGCAATAATAATATAAGTATTATAAATACTAACGTAATCCAATGGAGTTGCTGCAAAATTTAAAGGAGTAGAGATTACTGTCGTGAGTATCTTCTAAGAAAGTAAAAGAAATACAAAATACCCAATATTAGCAATTCCTGCATCTATTTTTAAAAGGCTCACAAGTTTTCTTTTTTTTTTTTTTTTTTTTGAGACGGAGTCTTGCTCTGTCGCCCAGGCTGGAGTGCAGTGGCATGATCTTGGCTCACTGCAACCTCTGCCTCCTGGGTTCACGCCATTCTCCTGCCTCAGCCTCCCGAGTAGCTGGGACTACAGGTGCCTGCCACCAGTAGAGATGGGGTGTCATCGTGTTAGCCAGGATGGTCTCGATCTCCTGACCTTGTGATCCGCCTGCCTCGGCCTTCCAAAGTGCTGGGCTTACAGGCGTGAGCCACTGCGCCCGGCCAAAACAAGGCTCACAAGTTTTAAAAACTTGCTAAGCAGTGTCAAGCCAAGTAGGAAGATGTGTGGTAAGTTCAAAATACATCAACCATTGCACATTACTAGCTGGAACGGAAGTGCTTTCATAGGTTATAAAAACATTAAAATGGTATCAACTGATTCTCCAAATCCTTTTATGGCCAATTAATCAAGTGAAATATTTGTTTCCAATTTTGAATCGGCCTTTTGTTTAAAATTTATTTATTGTTCACTCAGCATTACCAGAATTCTTTCTAAAGTGCCTCAAAGTGAAACTGTAAAAATATTTTTCCTTTGTTTTCAAAAATAGAAGCAATATTACATAGTTTACCATCAGAGAGAAGTGATGGCTATTTCAAAAGCATTTGGCACAGAGAAGAGGAATTTTTCCAGAAAAAAAGTCTCCAAAAGTCGCATATTTTAAAACATCTTTAGAGGAGAAAAAACTTAAAATCATAAGATTTGCGGTAAGGCATATCCCCCTGCCTCCTCAAGACAGAATAAAATTAATATCTATTACTGTAGCTTACTAACTATATCAGTAAATTTAAATTCATACTTTTTTCTGATAATTATACCAAAATGAAAATAATTTCTGAATTATTGAATAACAAAACACTTAAAAAAACTTTACAAACTTGATGCAAATGTAATTCCAGAACTTTACTTTTACCTCTTTTACCTAAAATGCCTACAGCTCAATTTTACTTATTAATCAATCTTGACTGTTCTCTTACTTGACATGGTCTTATTAGTAAGCTGTGTGGCTCTACTGCATATTGCTTTGATTTGGCTGGTCATTGTAGCAAGAATGGCATGCCCAATTTTCTACCTTTCATTGCTAGGAAAATTTACACAATAAAAGAGGTCCCCTCATCACTAATTATTGTGGAGCAGAAATTAATGACCAAACTAATAGAACTAAAGGACTTAGTGATATTGTGGAATCACTGGGCTCATCAGCTGAGAAATCAATTTTGTTTTACTAACTGAATTTCCCTATAAAAATCTTGCACTCCAGCTGGTACTAATTTCACTTTGCCTGTAATAATTTTGGACTTCAGGTTGTTGTTACTACTGGATTAACATGTAGATATTGAAGTTTAGCTTATGAAAATAGTACTATTTACAAAAACAATACTCACTTAAACATTTTCACGAGTTTTTCTTGGGAATGAGAAGAGACTTACTGCTTTTACATCTAAACAATCTTTGTCCATCAGCTCCTCCAAATATTCCAGAGTTCCTCCAAATATTCCAAATATTCCAGGGGACTATGTAGGCAGAAAGGTCTAAGATGGAAATCTAGGGAACTGACTGTTTAAAAGGCAGGTTCACAAGTGTTCATCACAACATCCCTTCTAATAGCAAAACTTGGAAATATCTGTCACAGAAGAATGGGTAAATGAATTATGGTATATTCTCTCAGCCAAATCTCTCACCGCAGTGAGCATGAATAAACTACATCTACAAAAGTATAATTCTCCCATACATAATGCTGAGCAAAAGAAGCCTGACAGAGCATTCATAGCCTATATTTACAAAGTTCAAGCACAGGTAAAACTCAGCTCTAATGCTTG